GTCGAACGCCTAAATATCCGACTAAATGATACCAAGGGGGATGAAAAGGTAGAGGAAAACGCCGTCGATGATCCGAGATTTTGGAGGCGACCTATTAGAAGATGGCCAGACCCCGAAATTACATCCCATGGTGAACCGAGCATACTGACAGACGCCGATATCATCATGTTGCGGAGTGAAATTTGAGTCCCCACGTCGGTACATCTATTTGCGCCGTACCCTGGAGAAAGGATTACATGTCTGCCGCCAGGGTGTGTTGGTGTATTTGCTGAAAGTTTGAGGTCGGGATTACGATTTCCTTTGCCGCGTATAATCACCGAATACTTACGGAATTGGGAATTTCCGCTATGCCAAGTTGCTCCGAACTCATGGAAACGAATTATCAGATTGCTTGTGTTCTTGGCTGAAAAGAAATGGGATTTACCGTCGGCAAGGGACATGAGAAGTATGTTTACATTTCGGAAAAGCCCGGATAGACAAGTGACAGACCCACTTCTTACTTTCTCGATTGTCGGGAAACCTCAGTCAAGAGTCAAAGTTGGCGAGTTGATAACAGAAGTTTCTGACACACTACATGGGTTTCAGGAAGAATGGTTATGGGTCGGTGGAGACTGACAGTGTGCCGACTTCGCCAATGATCTTCTTGCCAATGGGACGAGTATCCCAATGGCTATTAAATCTGCTTACTGTAAGTTGCATTTTTCTTCCTTTGTATTTCAAATATTAATGCTCTGTTTTGTTTTGTCTTCGCTAACAGGTGGACTTTTATGACATTGTAGCCAAACCGGAAGGAAAGAAAGAACCCAAATTTGAAGGAGTGTTGTACAATCGGGTTGACAAGCTATTTGAACTGTCTGCGAACAAGCGAAGATATCAGCGGCTTGTGAAGGATTCTCGGTTGGAGTTAGCTGGCGTATCTCCTGGGATTTTAGACTCTTCATTTCAGCCGGGTAAGTGTCTTACTTGCTTCATTTTATATTTCATATCGGTAATCCCGATCTTAACTTGAAATGTCTTATGTAACAGTATATTATCCATTATTGGGATACTTCGGTTTTGGAGATCCCATTGAAGCAGAAGAACATCGGAGATGTAATCCAAATTCCGATTTAAAAAACAAGGTTGGGAAAAGTAAGATTCTTCGATCAACCGAGATGGCTGGACGCATGAATCTTCTCAAGGCGTGGAAAAAGAACCCCAACCGATCTCAGAGTGTCATCGGTCAGCCGTCATCGACAAGGGTGGAGCCGATGCCAGCTATTGTGAATGAGCCATCTGCTGCCAATAATCAGCCACTTGATGTTGAGCCATTGCAACAAGTGATAACGTCAGTGAACGAGCCCGTTGCTGAGACCAAAGTCTCACAAGATATACCTGAGGAGCATTGTTTAAATGTAGTCCATCGTCGTAAGAGATTTAGTGTGTCACATGTGGCCGAAAGAATGAAGAAAAAACAAGACTCCGGCGCAGGCAAAGACAAAGAGGAGGAAGAGCCCGAGATCATTTTGAAAGATTCTTTCCTTATAGTGAACGAGAAAAAAGCTGCAGAGTTAAAGCTGCCAGAAGATGTGTTCGATCCCTGGTTCGCAATGTATTAGACTGTCGTCGACTCAAAAGTTACAAACAATCATCGGTTGCCTGAGGAGGCAGTGAAAGCGGCGAATGTTCCGCTGATGTCTTGGGATCCGAAAACTCACGTCGGAATCGCATCTCTGCCGGATGACCAGAAATTCAGTTATGCGAGAGGCTGCTTAGGGCGAGCACTTGTCAGCTTCGTTGCGGCTGAAGAAAGCTATCGGGGTAGAGTTCTTGAGCTTGATGAGAAGCAGCATGAGCTGAGCTTGAAAGAAGGTGCCATCGCCTCCTTAGAGGAGGAGAAATCCCGATACGAAACGTCAATGTCGGAGAAAGATGCCCAACTGAAGGCGGCACAAACCGAGGTAAATGCACTTAAAACTGAAAAAGAGAATCTCTTGCTGGCCCACGATCTTATGTCGGTTCAGCTTGCTAAAGTTGGAGAAGCGGCAAAGGAAAAGGACGAGCAACTCGTGAAGCTGAGGGCTGAACTTCAAGCGGTCCGAAGAGATCGCTCTGAAAAAGACGCTGAACTGATCCGCACTCGAGAGGCTCAGGAGATTGCCATGAATAAGCTTCGTCAGGAGTTGACAGCCGCGGCCGAACTCAAATATCAGGAAGGTATTGATGTCGGTAAGAAAGCGATGATGGAGTCCGGCAAGGTGGCAAAGGAGGACGCGGTCACAGAGTGGGACTTGGAGCTAAATGCTGCCTTCATGTTGCGTTGGGTCATCGATCGCGTCGAAAACGGTATTTATAGCATTGACGAGTTACGGATTTTTCTTCTGGAAAAAATGGAAAAGCATCGTCTCAACCCCGAGATCAAGAATGCTCACATTCCAGCCGATCAAGATGAACGGGATTTTGCCAACCGACTTCTAAAGCAGAAAGAAATTCGGATGCTTGAGTTACACATGGCTCCCTTGTCGGAG